ACCTCCAAGGGTCGTAAACACGGAGCCTTAATTGAAATCAAATGTATATTTTTAAAAGGCACGTCCAGCATTATAGACTCCTTTCTGTTTTGGTTTTGTTGACACTAGTGATGGTAGAGAAACCTGATCAGGAAAGGTTTGCTATTATTACTGCTTTGAATATGAACTTGTGCTTCTCAACACTATAAATTGCTGATTAGGGGAAGGAGTAATATTCTACTTGATTACTGGTTACACATATGGAATAAATCCTATTTTAATGGTGTCTAATGAGTCTTTCATTTTCAAAACCTTACACAAAAGCCTCTAATAGAAAGGGAAAGTAATATTTCAAAGGTCATCTTAATGCCACTTAATGTCAACAATCTGTAATCAAGCCAATATATATAGATGGTGATTACAGTCCAGTTGTGATCCTTTAAATATGAAATAATCTCCTAAATTAACAAAGTGGTGCAAGCTAAGTTTCTCTGGATTTGAGGCAACTTATACTTCTTAATTAAGGCTTGTTCCTTGAAAACAGCCTCAGAGTTAAAGAGATTTTTCTCAGAGTAAGGCTTCATGCAGTGCCGTATTTTCAACCCCGTGAGATTTAAAGTTCTGTCACTTCATGCATTGTTCTTGTATGTGTCTGTAGTCACTGAAATGTGCAATTGGAAAATAATGGCTCCCCTTCACTGCTTTTTCTCAACAGCAGAATGTAATAGGCGCTAGAAACATGGGATGTTTTGTTGGTCAAGAGGTCACTGAGGGAATTTTTAGGCATGCCTATTTCAGAACTAGAATCTGCTTGGCAACAGATTAAATAGTTAAGAGCTTAAAGAATCTCTAGTATGGGACTGGCATTCTGGAATATTGTCTCATTTGCAGTGCATATGGAGATAACCCTGCTTTATCCTGGGATGGAGATGTTTCTTTTCAGTCCAGGGCTGCTGCAAGCCCATATGACTCTTGCCCCAACTAGAAACGAGTGAATTCTGCAAGACATTTTGCTTCTGTCAGGAGACTGTCTTGAGAACATAAACAGAGATTACAATGTGAATTTCATTCCAAACTCACAGGCACACCGTAGCATCAGAACCTCCTAGAGGGCTCCTTAACACTCAGAGGTCTGGGCCTACACCCCCAGGTTTCTGTTCTGTAAGTCTGGAGTTGGGCTAGAGAATTTGCCTTTCTCACAGGTTCCCAAGGGTGTGACAATGCTTCCGATCCACACAATGTATCTTTGAGAATCATTGCTCATGCCTCATCAGTATATGACCTTCCCAGCCACATGTAATGATCTTGATTCCATATTCCCTTGAGTGAAATGTGAGTCTTAATCCTTTTGTTTCTCTCACTGTCTATCACATAGTGCCCTGCTCCCAGGGCTTACTCAGTGATTGTCGGGGAGGAAAATAAGAATGCTATTTAGATAAAATTACCCATGTGTACCAGACCCTTTCCCACCACCACTCCCTGAAACATTACCATTTGTTTTCTTTGTCCTTCACTTTGTTCTGCTTTTCCTCCTTCTGCCACTCCCTTGGATTCTGAGAGTTTGTTGTTTTTCTCTAATCTTTCTGTATTTGGCCTGTGTTTGAAGAACAGGCAATCTCAGGCCTGATGATCCATCTCTGTGTCACTGGGCCTTAGATTCCTGGCTCCACGGCCAGTCCAGGGAGGAGATATCCAGTGACTAAGATATTGGCCAGTCTTTGTGAAGGAGTTGGTTCATGGCAATGACACAGCAATCAGGTGACAATTTGGACCTTAGATCTCAGGACAGACTTTGCACTTTAGGAATCTTGATGAGAAAGTATGTAGCCAAATTCAAGGAAATTCTCCTGGGGTTCCTGCTTTCCTTTACATTTAGATGTTTCTTTACAAGGTGAGACTCATTAAAGATTTTGAAAACCTGAAAAAATCTAAGTAGAAAACAAGGCAACCATTTACTCAGATACCCAAAACATCCAGTTTAGGTGTATTTTGTAACAGTCTTGTATAGTTCTACCAAAATATTAGTTTATTTTTAATGTATTTGCATTTAATTGAACTTACAATCTTAGGGTAAAATTGCCTGAGGGAGAGGAAATACTTGTTTGAATTACAGGTTTATTTCCATCATGAATGGTAATGAATCCACAAAATTGTTTGCTTTCACGTTTCATCCAGATACCCTTAGAGAAATGAACGGGTCCTATTTTTTCTTCTTGTAGAATTGTTAGTGTGGTAAGTTCAATCAGATGTTATTCTTTGCATACTCTTGTGATGGGTTGGGTGTTAGGCCCCTCATGGAGCCATTTATCGGTTCTTCAGCACTTCATTTTATTGGTTTGGGTGGGGTTCATGGGTTCTTCTCAGTGAATTTCTTCAATAAGAGCAAATGGGTGATGTTTTTATGAGCCCCTAGTACATGGGGTTGCCTTGCTCTAGCCTTTATTCATTCAACTCAGTGGGATCAAATCACTTCACTCCTTAATCTTTTCTCCTGAAAGTAGTATAATGCCTGTACACATACCACAAAGACTTTTGTCTTCTGGACTTCACTGTTACAGAGGAAACATTTGAGATCAGCTGGATTTGCATGATTTTACTGATAATCTTTTTGTTGCCACTTTCAATCTGGGTGCTCATGTTTTCCTCCATCCTGCTATTTTTTAAAAAATGGTCAGGATGTTGTGAGATATAGTTCATTTTTCACTGATTTGCTTGGAATGCAGCAAGCTCTTTGGTTTGATCATTGTTTCTGTTAACAATAATACTAGCAATTTTCTGACTTTGAACATTTACATGGACGTTTAACTAGAGAGACCTTGGGAATGCTAGTCTACATTTAGTATACATCTGATGAAGTAGGCAGTTGGAATTAGTTCTGGGGCATCTTTGGGATCCCGTCTAATCATTGTGTGGTAGATCCAAGGGTCTTATTTTTCTGGTGCTCACAGAAATCTCATTAAGCTATTCTAAAATGATTCTCCACTCCAGTGTTGGTGCTGAGACAATGCAGGCTTTTCTCTGATCAAGATCTTGGGTGACTGTAGAAGACAGTGGATGTTGGGGCCTTCTTGAATCTGGGTATGCACCCCTATAAAATGATGCCCACCCTGCAAAACAACCTTCCTAGGAACTGGGCTACAGGCTTGATGTGTCCAAAACCATAAGCTCATTTTAGAACTAAGTGTGGTCTATCAGGTGATTCCAAGACAAACTGAGTTACACGGAAGTATACACTGAGTTGTCATTCAGAGTGAACCTTAAAAACAGAGGTTTGGTTGGCAGGGGTCTCTTAGCCAAGAGGTGGTTACTTTTGAGCCCTTTGATTCTCAAACATGAGAACCACTTGAAAACCTGCAGAAACAAACATTTAACTCCTCTCCCTCTAGCGATGTAACATTATATGCCTTTCATTCTGTTGAAAAGTAGTTGGCTTTGTCAGCAATCATCTTCTGTTCAGGCTAAATTTACTTTTATGTGAAATAGAAATCAGGAAAACACTAGAATTATTTTAAGCAAAATATCAAAATTGAAATAAACCAACATATGTCTGTGAAACATGTATAACTCTCAATCAAAAATAAGCGCAACTTTCATAAATTTCTTAAAATATTCTAGCATGCAAAACTAGACAACTTATTTAAATAGATGGTGTTGTGACATGTTTAATTATTCTTCCTCCTTTGTTCATCCTCTACTTAAAGGTGAAAATTGAAATAACCAAAACCTGACCCAACTCTGGGTCACCCCTTAATGAATAATGTTCTAATCTGTTTTATTGATAAAAAGTAAGAGAATTGAGGAATTTTATAACATTTCTTGCAGTAAGTTTAAGTTATACCTGCTAATTTTTAATGTAAACCATTTTCAATTTAACATTCTTTACTTCTGTTCCCCTTACCACCCCTACATTCCTCTCTAAGATGTAATGCTTCTTAATTGCATTAAACATATTATGTTTTGTTCTTGTAGTTTTTAAATTGCAGTTTTCCTTGCACTGGGAACTCTAATGGCATCAAAATTGCTGAAGGGACATATATATTTCAGGGCTTAGCACCAAAGAGAGAATTAAAGGATAAACACCCATCTCACATTTATGCTTCATATGTAGGCATTCTCTAACATGTTTTCTGTTATACTGTCCCTTCAAGGATTGAAATCACTTTGACCCTCTAATAGTAGCTGATATTTTGCACACAGAAGACAATAAGTAAATGTTACCATCAGTAAGTATTACTGACAAACCAATGAAACAGTTCTTAAGATCTTCAACTTTCTGTTTATAATTCTTCTCTTCAAGAACCAGATAAAAAAAGTTTCTTTAAAAATAGACATAAATAAAACTATAACTTTATTTGGAATATGATTTAGTACTAGATGGATTGTCTTCTTGTTCCTTTTTAAAAGCATGTTAAAAACTTTATCTCATTAGGCTTGGCATCACCCTATATATTAAAAAGGTCACTCTTGGAAGTTGAAAACTACTTAAGGTAGAATTAAGAAAGCTTATTATCATAATGAGTCAGCAGACACATGTCCTTTTCATCTCTAACTCTTGGGTCTTCAGTTTACTTTTTCTCCTCAAACATCGCTCTGATTCTTTTGCTGTTGTTAGTTTATTAGTTGCAAGAAGTTTCTTCCTTCCCGATTCCTTCAATTTAGACCAATTTGGAAATGGAAAAGTGTGTTAATTTTTTAACAAATCTTTAAGACATGCTTTACTGTATTTTTATTAACCAAGCCAGATGGCTCACAGCAAATTTTCTCTGACATAAGTAATCACAAAAATCAGTTTGGGACACAAATCTGGTATGGAAAGTGGCAAGTATATTCAGGAGAAAAATGCAGTTCACACAAACATATGGATATTTTTAGAAGTAATACTGTTACTATTTAGATTTCATCTTATTTTATTTTTTTGCTATAGGCTAAGAACAAACTAAGGACATTTATTTTTCCTGTCCCCCACAACCCCAAACATTCAAGGTCCTTCTCAGCAACCCAAAATTATTTTCTTTTTGCAGTTTGAAGGTTGCAAGAAGGCCTTTTCAAGGCTTGAAAATCTCAAGATTCATTTGCGGAGCCACACAGGCGAGAAGCCGTATTTGTGCCAGCATCCGGGCTGTCAGAAGGCGTTCAGTAACTCCAGTGACCGCGCCAAGCACCAGAGGACGCATCTGGACACTGTAAGAGTGGCAGGAACTTTCCAACTTCCAGCCTCAGGCCCGGTGGAGGAAGTGCCCATTTGATAGTGGGGTGGTGAAGGTGTTTGCTTTATGACCTGCAGGTTACAGGGACAATGCCAAGGGCAGCAGTGAAGCCTGGTAAAGAGCCAGAAGGGGCCCTGCTGGTTCTTTCTTTTCCTTTTTCTATAGTAAGAAGTTATCCTAAATATTACAGCTGCCTGGGACAAAACGGTTCGTATATAAAGCAGAGGCACTTTGGGGGCTGTTATATAGCAGATTTTGGTGCAGAGAATGACTGCTAGAGATTGGACCTTAAAATAAATATTTAGATATCAAGGTATACTAAGATAGGTAAGATACTCTATTGCTAGAAACAGGAAGCAATTTTTTTTCTTATTTTGATTCTTTTTTTCTTGACATAAAAACGTTGAGACTGGCATGCTTTTTGAAAGTGAATCTGGCCTTTTGCTTTAGAAACCACCTGGTATTTTCACCTTCAAGTGATCTAAAAAGAATCAGCAAATCTTTCCCAAGGGTCCTGTTTCATCACTCTTCCTACGTGTTAACAGCCACATATCCACTGACATACAACCTATGAGAACAATTTATTTTCATTATTATGCCTTAATTCTCTTAGTGCTGAAACACTGTGTTCACTTGCTAATGCCCTTTCCATGACTCGGTCTTTTGTTTTCTCAATTATGTTGATCGTACTCCTTTGCATTTCTCAGGTTTTGGTGCCATTTTTTTTACATGAGGCTAGGTGGACTATATGTAATTTTAGTTCACTTAACAAAACCATCAGGGTAAATGTCTTATACACATCACAGATCTCTTATCCCACATTCTTGCAAGTAATGTATTCATGACAGTATTTTTTCAGTGTTAACATTCTGATGTCTATTATTAAACTACTTCAGAATTTGAATTTTGAAAAGATACTGTTATTTCTACACACCTTCTCATACATATTTAAGATTCTTCTGATGTTATAGCTGACATATTTATTAAATTTTATATTAGTCGCTATTAGTCATATTGATAGCAGTCATTTTAGCTATATGTCACATAACCTTTCTAAACAGAATTATATCCTAATATACATAATGTGATGGTTAGCCTAGTAAACATCTGAAATATAATTAGAGTAATGTGGCTCTAAGATGGACCCTTTCTGATCTAGCTGAATTGAATTCAGTGAATTTAGGACCAACAGAATGGAATATTAAATGAATAAATTTGGTGAATAGCAGTATTTTTTAAAAGTAGAAATAGGAAAGAGAATGAATTATGTTTAAATACCCTATTTTGTATGTCTAAAATGGTCTTGGTAGAATCTTATAAATTTTACAATTTGTCATTAAACTTTATCATGGAAGAATGAACATTCATGAGACAAGATTGTCTTGAGAAATTGCTTCTACTCTAGCTAGTTATCTGGAGTTTGAAAGAACTATTGTGAGGCTAAGTGTTATGGTTCTACAATACCCTTCTTTGCTTGGAGCTAATTTTAGCTAATCAAACCAAGAGCATTTTCTAAAGTCATTTTGGATTTTAAAAATCCCTTTGGAAAACTTTTGAGAAAAACTACCTAAGATAATAATTTCATGATTCAGTTCAATGCAGTAGCTTTTAAAACTTAACTGTTTTTTTTTTTTAAGTATTTCTCCATTAAACTTTTAAAACCATGATTTTTTTCTCTGAAATCCAAACTACCTTTTGTTGCTTAAAGAATTTACTATTAAAATTTAGATCCACATTCCCTTTCATTAAATACTCCTTATGCTAATAACTCCTTATGTTAACAATACTATCAGAATTTTAGATAAAGTATCTTACCTCAATTAAATGGATTCTTTACTTCTAGGAAAATGATTTGCCCATAAAGATGACTGAGTCCATAATTCTAACCCTGGAAAGTGTTATTAAATCATTCCTCTATTAACATCTTAATGTCTAAACAGGGGGAATAATTTTATAGTATAAATGGAAAATAATGAAGAATATAGTTTGATGAAGTGTAACATGCCATTTAAAGTTTAGGTAATCTGAGTTAAAATGACCAGTACACTTGTACCACTTAGACCAGTCCCTGGCATTGCTGTTTTGGCATACTGATCCCAGGGGAGAGAGTGAAAGCTAGATGGGAGGAATGGTCAGTATTCAAGCCTTTTTCAAGAGTATCTCAAAATCAAATCCAAAATGACATTAACCATTTCTTATCTTTCCAACCCTAGTAATGGTGACTATTGTAATAATAATGGCATCAATTTATATAATGCATTAATATTCCCCCCAATTTTTATTTACAGCATCTCTAATGCAAAATATGAACTTATGTGGTCATAACATGACTGCCAGTAAAGATGCTGGCTTATTTCCCCCCCAGGCAGGAAAGGGAAGACTAGGGGAAAAAAGCTGTGTGAACCCAGAAAAGATTCCCAGGTTAAAGAAAACCTTTGTTTACCCAATGGAAATTTCCTTGGCAGATGACTTCAGCCTGTAATTGGCTCATCCTTTTGCAGAAACTGTGACTTATGAGAGGCTGGTTCATCCATTGTTCATTGTTAGATCCCTGACATGTGATACAACGTCTGGCACATTATGGAAGCGAAAGAGCTGCTGGGTGATTCATTCATTCATTCAGTCAGTCAGTCAATGAACAAACACACCAGATAATCAAACTTGGAACTCAAATTAGGACTGTCAAACTAAATGATACATTCATGACTTCATCTTGTTCTTGGAATAAAAATTAGCAACAATAGCAATAAAAAAGTGAAACACATATATGGTTTTTAGAAAGCAAGTAATGTAGTTCACACAAATGTTGACCTACAAAATGACAAGCAAGTGCATGAAAACAGGAACAAAATATAAATACTAAGGAAAACAACCTGAATTTTGGGGGGAGTGGGGTTGGTCGATAGAATAGCATGTTTCTAAAGTGAGATTTCTATTGTAGAGACAGTTTCAGTTCTCTTCCTCACATTTCACCTCATGCAGGCACAAATTTAATATCTCACCAGATGAGGTACTAAGTAGATGAGTGACAGTTAATACATCTTATAAATGCAGTTAATCTTGTAGTTTTTTTTTTCAGTTCTTATGATAAGAAAGTTTTTATTTATTCTACAGTGTAAAAGTCACATTCTCAAACCTTGGGTTTGAATTTAGTTGTTACAGTAGGAATAGTTGCTAAAATTTGAATCAATGTGTAATGCTCTCATCCAGTCATTCCTAATTATCATGTACCAATCACCAGGGTCATAAAAATAAAAAAGATTCTAGATTCTGTCTTGGGCTCCACGCCTTACATCTCTCAGGCGCATGGGAGGATTGGAGTAGCCAGAACTTGTTTTCTTTCTCATCGTGCTCAGCCAAGAACTTATTCACCTAATGTAGGCTTAACAGCAGGACTCCCCTGCAACTAATAATATTAATGTTTCTTTGGCTGATTTTTCATGTGTCTGTTGTTTGAAACCTGCTGACTTCTACTTACTTTCCACTAATTTTCCCTTTTAATTCTCTCCCTCTCTCTTTCTGAATCAGGTTTCTTCTGAAACATTACCAGTCTTTTCTGGACTTTTCTACAGCTTCTTTATACCTGAACTCTTAAAGAATATGTGTTTCCTAATTTCTGACAGTACCAGAGATTGTTTTCAGGGGAACATAATTGTAAGTATGACTGGAGATACTAATAATTTTCATGTTGAAAAATGCCACAGGAGGTTTCGTGGCAAGAGGGCATTCTGTAGCAGTCTCTTAAAAACCTTCAAAGATAAGCCATCTCTTTGTTTCTTGAAAGTTTATTCTTCTCTTTGCCTTGATTCAAACTTACTGGGCTTTCTAATTAAAAAGCATGAGTATCACATAGCAATTCACATCAATCAGTTGGCAACAGTTCATGCTCTGAAGTCAATAGTCTTTGAGTAAATCTTTCTCAGTTACCTTTATGATTTAACCACAGCTCTTTCTTTCTTTCTTATTTAGAAACCTTATGCTTGTCAAATTCCGGGATGCACCAAACGCTACACAGACCCAAGTTCCTTAAGAAAGCATGTGAAGGCACATTCTTCCAAAGATCAGCAAGCAAGGAAAAAGGTAATTTTAAATGAAAAATTTATCCAGCCAGGAAAAGCACATTTAAATTCCTCTTGCAGTACTGGGAGCTTCTGTGGGACATTGGTAATCCTAATGCTTCTCAAAGTGTAACATATTTTTGACTCTGAGTAGAGAAGTCTTTAATGAAGTAGTAGCAAGGCTGTGATTTTCATAACTGATGTAATCAGATATGAATTTCTGGGGAGGATTTGTATACTAGAAGTTGATGAAATTAGTGAAAGTCACCAAAACTGGAAAGTAACAAAATTAAGTTCAAATAGTTAAATAAAATTGAATTGGGAAAACAACACAACAAATATTCTTTCTGGTGATAAGTGCTTAATAAATAGCAATAAAAAACATAAAATATCAATTGGCTAAAATTATTAGCTCTGACGAAGATGGTAGGATGAGTATGTATAGAGCATTGTTCCCTTTAAGCTTAGAAAAAACACGTTTCTTAATAGGTACTATATATGAAAGTCTGAGAAAGAAATTGAACCTAAAATCACTTTTGACATCATTGAGGGCTTAGTGCATCTCTCAGAGTTCTTAGAAACTGTAGTATCTCTCAGATTTGGAAGGAAATGCTAAAGATCAACCTGCCAACCCACCTGACTTGTCCTCCTGACTTCATAAGATCTCCAGCAAGTGGTTGACAATACTGTTCTTTAACATCTTGGGAAACAAAGAGCTTACTACCTTTCAAGGCATTTTCTAATACCAGACTTTGTAAATTTTTGGACCAAAAAGTATGTTCAGATTATGGCAGAAAATATGTTGACCTGACCTTGGTTTTTCACTTGTGTTTAGATGGGTACCTCATTCATTTAAGAGCCCTTCATAACAAATTTAAGGGAAGTTTAAGACTAAACTTATTTCAAGTGACTGAACACTGTTGTTGTTCAGTTGCTAAGTCATGTCTTACTCTCTGTGATCCCATGAAGCTCAACCGGGCTTCCCTGTCCTTCACTGTCTCCTGGAGTTTGCTCAGACTCATGTCCATTGAGTCAGTGATGCCTGTGATCTCCTATGGTTTTATTAAACCCTATGGCATGGTTTTCAGGTCACTGTGGCTTCTAGCTAGCCAGAATATTTCATTATTTTATAATTTATAGGGATTTAGTGCTTTTATTTTGGGATATGCTCCATAACCTTTTTGTTACTTGAGCTTTTTCTTCCTTAGGATGTGTTAGCACAATGCCAGTTGAGGGCTCATATATGGAAATAATTTGACCTCTCCACTATGAGTTAGAAAAATGTCCAGTTAGAAAAATTTGATGAAAGTTCTTTTTTAAAATAGATATTCTTAATGGCATACAAGCCCACTCTTATAAGTCGGTTGTTAAAATTATTTATTTTTCCTCTATAAATATAGTTGAAAATGAAAGTGTTAGTCACTCAGTCATGTCTGACTCTTTGTGACCCCATGGACTGTAACCCACCAGGCTCTCTGTCCATGGAATTCTCCAGGCAAGATACTGGAGTACGTAGCCATTCCCTTCTCCAGGGGATCTTCCAGTCCCAGGGATCTAACCATTGTCTTCTGCATTGCAGGCAGATTCTTTACTGTCTGAACCAGTAGAAAAGCCCACATAAGTATAGTTAAATCTCTTTAATTGGAATCCCAGTCAACTGATAATAGATGATCATTATCAACATATCATAATAGATGATCATTCAACATGGATTGGAATATGTTCCTGTATTTTAAAACAGCAAAGGAATTAACTGAATTAATAATAAAAATAAAGTTGTAAGAAGGATATTTAATATTCTTAAAATAACACTCCGTTGTTACAATGACATACTGTTAATTGTTTAGGAGGACATTATCCATGTATATCTTGTAAACTTGAAATAATAAGTTGTGTTTCTTAAAAAATCCTCTTGCTGAATTTCTTCCCCCTAAATCTGACTATTCTCTACCTCCAAGTTGTCCCAAATGTATGAGGCTTTGCTGTATTAGCAAATTTGTTATGAGATTGAAGAGCACCTTCATAGAGAATAACAACTGTGGACTTGACAGAATGTAAGTCTCACACGCCGACAGATAAGCAGTAATATGATATTCAACCCAAGAGAGTAACCTAGGTTGACAGTAGGTATGAAAACATAATGTGATATTTTTAGAAATTATTAATAGCTTATATTGCTCAGACACAGAGTATTTCAGCTTCTTTGTAAGGGAAGAGTAGTTATGATTCTGCAAAAGATGTTTGAAGAACTAATTTAAAGAAGATAATCAGATCTTAAGAGTATAAATTTGTAAACAGTTTTTAAGAACCTTTAATAGACAATCTGGATAAAAGGATATTCTTTCAAGGGGCAGAATTACAATCTAATGTCAAATATTACAATATTCTTTTAATTTTGTCTTATGTAAAATGAGGTATTGTCACTCCAATGATTCAGCTTTTGTTGTTCACTCTTTCCTGCAAGTGACTGAATTGAATTTGGCTGACTTTATTTGCTTAGTCCTTAGTGACAAGTTTACCGTGTTTACTTTCCAAATTTTAACCTGGCCTTTTAATCTGAAGATTTTAAAAATCCTATGTGGATCTTTGATGGACTAATTCATGGAAATTAAAATGATGAAAGTTGCGCTATCCAATAAAAAGAGGTAATGTCACTCCCAGGAAAAGCAGTGCTAATAAACCTGAAATCAGTCAATCCACATTTTCAAACCTTGCGCCGTTGTATTGGTGTGTAGTATTTACATGGTAGAATGTTACTAGACCTCAGAGAGATTCTAATTACTAACTCACATCAGGGCTTGGTATTTGGAATATTTCCTGGCAGCAATGACTTAAAAAAGTAAGAAACAATAACCCTTTTAAAGCAGAATTAAGATTATTTACGACTTTAATTAAAAATTGAAAATTGGCATTATTTCAAAAAGCCTTTACAAAAATGTGAATTCATCAAAAATAACCATAAAAATTCCAAGGTGATAAAGGCACAGTGGAGTAATGGTCCCAGCCCTAGGGAATTGTTTTGTTGAAAAGAATAAAACTCTTTTCTGTCACACCCTGTTAGTCATGGACTCCTTTAATATACCCTGCCTGCCTGCCTGCCTCTAATCCTCTTTTCAACCTCCCCCTGGACACTAAATGACATTATTTTGGTCTTAACATGGCTGGCTTTATGAAGCCTTTCTCTGAAATCATGGCCAGTGACAAGCCACCCTCACCCGTAAGACAAATGTTTATTAGGAGGAGTAGAGATCTTGTAAGTGATGCCCTGGTCATGGGCATGGGGCCCTTTCCCACACCTGTTGGATCCTACTGAAAACCAAAAACCTGAAAACTCAGCTAAATATTATTCAAGCTGTGAAAACAAAGGAAAAAAAAAACCTCTTCTGCAAAAGAATTGGGATAATTTGGCTCATTGCATGCAGAGTAACTTTTCTCTTTGTCTGATGTGTGCACACCCACACATCCCATCAGCTTATGTACAGACTTCTTCCATAGAATGTGCTTTGCAGATCTTGAGTCCATTAAATAGAGGGCTACACAGATAAATGAGTAGCAAAATACTCAAGTCACCAGCTATGGTCTCCAGTGAGAATAGAATTCAGTCTACAGAGCAGAAGGCAGAATCTGTCCTTCAATTTTGTCTGATAATGAGTGGGGAAATAAGAAAAAACTAAAGCAATAAGCCACTTGAAATTTTCCTCAAGGCTGTGAGCTTTGTTAGAAATTTTCAGTTACACCTTGCAAGTGCCATAAGCAAGGAGGTTTCCTTCAATTCTGGCCTGCTATCCAAATGGACTTTTAAAAAGTGAATGGGAAGAATACTGGGCCAAAAGTTAGAGATGACGTGAATCCTTTGTCCATTTCACAGTTCCACAAAGATTCCAAACTTTGGGTGTGATTTGTTAAATGTTTGTTAAACATTCACCTTTGACCCACTGTAGTTAACTTTCACTTTTGTGACCTCAACATGGGCTGTTTGAAACCAAGCAAGTGTAGCCTTTGAAGTGTATGTGAATGCAACATGTATATGTATTTTCTACTTAGAGAACAGCATTATATAGCTTTCTGGCTAAAATAGAATTGCTTATTTAATGCAACTCTCTTCATGTAGAATTGGTGATACTCTGGAATCTGTTCAGAGCCACCAGCACCCCATATATACTCAAAACTATAAACAATTTCATTAAATACAACATAGGCTCACCTTGTTTTGTGCACTTGTTGAAATCTTCAAAAAGCTATGTGGAAAAAATACATTTTCCCCTAAATGACAGCATGTAGTTAGTGGGACTTACTTTTTCTATCAATTATTTTGTGTCATCATCTACATGGCATATGGAATATACAGATGAAGTACATAGTCAGAGGTCCTCCCAGATTTTGACAGTCTTTTTTCCTTCATCCTTCCCCCTCCTTCCTTCCTTCCTCCTTCCTTCCATTTTTTTCCTGCTCAGGAATAAATTAAGAATCTCTCTAACTCTCAGTGGAATGTCAGTCATGGACACATATTATAGACATAACATTTCAAGATGAACTGGTGGCTTCTCTGCTTCCACTCACATTTAGGAAATCATATTGGAATTTGAGTAAAACTGATGTTATTACAGCGATGACATTAAAATGGCACTACCATGTGTGTATGTGTGTGTGTGTGTGTGTGTGTGAGTCACTTATTAACTTTTCTACTAAACAGTTGTTGCTGACAGATTACTTACATTACACCTCAAAATGATGGTGAGACATACTACCTGCCTGAATGTCCTGATGTCTCTGTTGAGGATAACAGATTTCAAGAAAGGCGCTAGGTATGCTTTTGTAAAATAAACAATTTCAGTTCAGAATAGTGATGCTAACTAATAATTAAATGTAAATGAAAAAGAAAGTCAAGGTAACCCCCAGTTGATAATACTGATTTGGAGTTGAAACCAGTTGCCTGGAGGCTTCTTTGTGAAGCAGATCCAATATGGAACCAGCTGTGCTTTTGAGAACATTTTAATGCTACATGGTGATTGGAGCCAATGA